AATATTTGGAATATTAGTAAATGATATCTGCGTCCTATTTTTAAATGAAATATTTCTATTTGAATCCACTGTCAAATCAATTTAAATCCATACATACAATTTTAGATTGTTTCCAGTTTTTACATATTTGTTTTGATTTGTTTAACAAACAACAACATTGTAGATCTATCTGAAAATTCAAATAAGCGAACAATATTGTTCGATTCAGACAAATAATATTCTAATTTGATTTTAAAAAAGAGATACCTATACCTAATAAAATTGCAGCGATATATATAAAAAAACCTGGTTTAAAAATACTGTATGATATACGTTTCAGAGCTGGCGAAATAGTAGTACGCTTAAGTTAGCACCACCATAAAAAGGTCATTTTTAATAAATTGTTTATATATTTTTCATAAATTGGCAGGCTTGGCTACTAATTTTGAATAAAAATAGGCTCAAAACTGGCTATGGTTGCAAGTATGAAGGTCCAACCCACCTTAGAAATTTCACCGTAACTATCAACAGCTGTTGTTTGACAGGTCGTTAGAGAATGTTTGCAATTTATGGAATTTTAAGAATGTTAGGAATGTTGACGTTACAAATAATTGGAATTCCTAAAATTGTCATATAAGAAATGCATATGCGGATTTTAAGAAAATTGATATTAAAGTAGTTAGGATGAATCGAAAATTCTGAAAATCAATAGGATTATAAGTTAGAAGTAATTATTCAAGAAAATCAAAACCTCAAGTCAATCAGAACTTTCGTTCTAGAGTTATCGTGCCGGCATACATACACACGGATGACCAGACGAAAATTTTTTTTTGCATTTTGCATGATCGGAAACATGAAAAAAGTTTTAAAAAATGGGGGTAAGAAATTTTTTTTGTCTGCACGAATGCAATACTGAGGCCCCGTAGGAAGGGCCTCAGTAATTTAATTTTTATTTTCTAATTAGATACAATATAATATAATAAAAAAATTGGGTAAAATTGGCATTGGGATTTTTGTTTTGTTTTAAATCAATATTTCTTTTGTTTTTAACCTTATGTGCCAGTAATATTATAAATATGCACCCTTAGAATTTACTAAAGTCATTTAGAAGCTATAATAAAACCTATAATAAAAGGTATAATAAAATATACTATAAAACCTACGACCAAAACTACAATAAAATCCAAGTTAAAAACTACTATTAAATTTATGGTAAAATATAATGTGTATATAATATAATAATATAAAATATATGTTCATAATAATGGTAAACTTTATTCTGAAATGAGACAAGTAAATTTTTGTGTTAATTCCTAATTGATGGAGTGTAAAAATACCCTTATCTGAAATAAGTTTATGAACCATAATTGTTATTTTGTTTTTTTTTTAAACCTTCAGTAAAAAATTTTTAACAAACTTATTTCAAGATAAAGAAGGTAAATAACATTGAATGACTGATTATTTGCACACAGAAATACGTTTGACCTCTAAAGGTGTTTAAATCGTCTTTTCAATCTATTTGACTCAGTTCTTGAGTTTCCTGACAACAAAAACAAAAAAATTTGCGAGAGAAGCTGGTTCTATCAAAAATTACATCGCCTAGTTGTCAGACCTGTTTAAAATACAGGGTGTACCATTTTCAGAGCTTATAACTTTTAAACAAATCGTAAAACGTGCGGTTTTTGCTAATATATGTTATTTTGCTTCAGTGACACAGAAATTATGTATTACCTATAGGGTGTTTTTTTAAAAATCTCCTCTATTAAATTCACCGTAACCAAATTTTATGAAATTGAAACGGACTACTTTTCATTGGGACACCTGTATTTAAAGAAGTTAATTTACAATTATCGCTGCTGTATTTAAAGAAAGGACTAACTTTATCTACATTCTAGATCTCAGAAAAATGTTGAGGGTTAAAAATAAACATCTCAAATCCGTTAAACTTTTAGGTCAAGTAAAGAACTTTAATAAAATAGACACACGTGCAGATGTTTGAGTAAATTAGAGTGAACGTTGATGCTTTACCGCGAGATGAGTTAAAACGAATAAAATGTATATTTAACTAGGCGAAAAAAAGGTCTCGTGCAAGGGAGTAACCATACTGCCCCGAGCAATTTGTTTGATTAATTTTAAAGTCCAGTCAACTGAGAATAATGTAATTTTCTCAGAAATTGAAAATATAATGTCGACGGAAAAAGTAATAATTTCATAGCGGACTTTGCTCTAACAGGTTATCATTTAAAAATAATTTTACTCCTTTGGTGGGAAGCTGAAAAATGTAATTCTAAATTATTTTTTGAAATATAAATAGAATATTACTTGTAAAATGCTCTTTAATTAATATCGTTAGTAATACAGGAAGTTTTTTCTATAAAGCGTCATCACAAGCTTGGATTTTTTAGCATGGGGTCAACATTTTTTTATTATGTATTTATTAGCAATCAAAACAAAAGCTACTGTGCTGACTTGAGAGCAGAGTTATCCTCTTATTTGGCGTGATGAGGTCTTTTCCATTGAAAAGTTCTCTTTAAACACTTTTTATGTTAGCCGGCCTTTTTTTAGATTTATTACATTTTGGGGTTATAGAAGTGGATGGAGCAGTTAATTTTCATTATTTTCCAATCTATTATGATGATTTGTGCTTCGCTCTGATATTTGATAATATGGAATTTTTAAATCTCCATGTAGAATTACGTTGGACACATATCAAGGTGCTCTTTTTCTTCTTTAGATTGTAGCTACGTTCACATATATATGTTTTACGATAGTTTTGTAACGGAAAAGTTTATTTTTTAATGCTAATTTCCACTACTCAAAAATTCGTCACAATGTCATCACTATCATGTTCAATAATTCAAAATCGAAAGTATCCGTCATGCTATTATGTCAACGAAAAGAAGTTCATGTGAACATCCCGACAAATTGGCAAAACTTAAAATCCAAGTTCAGTAATACGTTACCACTGAATTCAATCAGCAATGCAGGGAGCAGAGAAACCACTTTTCGTTACAAACTTCTAACACCTTGTATACCCACAAACCGAAATCAAACTTGCCAGACTCCCTTCGAAATCGAACGGGTATTAAAGTTGGTGATTACAATTACTAGTCCTAACTTACACATAACAATCTAACGAACTACCCTGCACCCTTTAACACCCCAATAGCAGGATCGTATTTCAAACAATTTTATTATAATTGCTTTTTGTTCTTCGTTAAAACGAAGCATTAAATTTGAACTTTTATACATTGTGAATTTTAGGAAGGTAAATAACGATTTAATTTTATGAGTTTGAAATGATTTTAATATTTTTGTTTGATGTCACTTTTTAATTAAGTTCTGTATCTGTAACACGTGAAGAGTTGGTTACCCAAACGCAACTTAGGCCATGCTAAACCCATTCTGCATCCTCTTACTTTAGGTTAGGTCATAGTTAAGTATTTGTTTGCAATAGTAATATTCTCAACGTATCTTAAAAGCTTTTTGAAAACTCTACAGTTTCTTGTTTCATCCCAACTTTTCCTCAATTTTGCAAGGCAATTTTCATTAATTAGGTTTGTCATGACAATATGAAATTCCAGCAACATAAAAGGAATTAGACATATATCGAGCAGGTCTAAGAAATTTTGCAAAAAAATCTTAATTTCCTTAATCCAACTCTGCACCATTCATACTCTAGTAACTTGGATATCGTAAAACGGGAAATTCTAGTTAAACTATGTTTCCATTATGTGTCCAATTTGGATGCTAACCCTTTGTTGGACCGATATAATTGTTCGGTAGGTATGTGAAGTTGTATGTGCCGAGTCTTTATTGTGAAATTCGCTTTGCCTTTTCTCGTTTTTGCTTCTCTTTAGATAATAAAATTCCAAAGGATGTTTTTAGCGATTGAAATTTGTAGACACGAATTTGATTATTTCGTTTCAATTATTTTGAAGTAATGTTTCACTTATGGTTTAGAGAAGATGTATTAAAAATGTTTGTTTGATAAAAAAGTATTATTGAAATGATTTAGTAAATTAGAATAAATTGAGTGATAATGCCTAACGGTTGTGTTTGTATATTTTTCTTATTTGTCTTTTCTTTAATAAATCATGCCACAAGTATCATGTTATGTAGGTACCTAAAAGATTTTTTTTTCACATATTGCTTAATGAAAGAATAGAATTAAAACTCGATATTAAATACATTTTTCCAAATGTTCACTTGTTTGTTATGTCTCTCCCTTAAATTAAAATTATTCTAAATCGATTTTAAAATAAAATTTTATTCTCTTTTTGATAGTCTTAATTTTTTATCGCTCTTAGTTTTTTCATAATGGGCATTTTTCCTGAATAAATAAGATTTTTCTGTTTGTTTTCTGCATACATTTGTAAACGAAAGTTTTAACATTTCTAAGACACTAAACCCCAAACCCAGGTTTTGTTGAGTTGTTTGAAATTTCATATTTTTGATTTGATTAATAATATTGTGATTATGGACATAATATTCTACAATAGATCAAATTTACTAGATTACAGATGTAATAAAGAAATTATTTAAATACGAATACAAATTTAGATGATATTATTTTTTCAAACTCACACTTTTTTTCATATGGAAAGTTGTACGTCGAAATTTACCACGAAAAAATTTTTATCTAGATATGTTGAGGAATATGGGCATAAAATATTAAGAACTCCTACAATATTTTTGACCATTAAGAATAAAAAAATGCCAAATTCATTATAAATATAATCTATAAAAATATGTTTTTTGAAAGAGATTACTTATCTTAAAAAAACAATTTCAAATTAAGATAGTGATATTATTTTTTTATAGTAATATTATTTTTTTTTCTCCTGGGCTCGTCTGACTATGTGTTTCCGAATAACACTGAAGCCTATTGGCTTATTGTGTTTAGTGATATTATTAAACTTCGATCTGATTTTAGAATATTTAATCTCAATTAAATTAATCTAATCTTATTTTCTTTATGAATTATAAACAATTCGTTTAATCTTTTATTCTGATTTTTACAATGAAGTTGTTAGTGTCTATTTCCGTTCTCCTGCTAGGTAATTTTGTTTATAGTTTATGATATTTTTTATATTTTATTTAAATAAGAAAAAACATATTGTTTCTATTATAATATTCACAATATTACAACGAGCAATTATAAATACAAATTGGATAAAAAAGCTTAACAAAAAATAAAAAGTTAGTTTTAAATAACTAATTAAAAATAATTATATTAAAAAATTAAATTTATAATTTACTTATCTATTTTGATCTCAATACTTAAGTTTTTTTTACTTCACTTTACTATCAACAATTTTGATAAATTAAAAAAAAGAAGACTTTATTTTTTAAGTCCTTATCATACGGGGTGTTAAAAATGTAAGCATTAAAATGTACAACCTAGAAATTGGAAAACTAAACAAGCTAATTATGTTTTAGGGGCAGTATCTTAAGAGATTCTTACTACTATTTGTCATATTAAATTATATTACGTAGTTTGAAAATTATTCAAGAAAAATTGATTTCCAGTGGCGTCCTTTTGTAAGTCATATCTCCGTAGGGAGGGTCGTATCTCCGTATGGAGGGCGCTAGGAAAAAAATTTTTGCAACTTGTCATCTTATTTTTTAATGTTCTATCTGAATCCGAGAGACCTCTCACATTTTCCCGGACACCCTGTATATCTCTTCCTTTGGGAAATCTCTTCTGGTACTGCTGAATTCTATCGAAAGTTTTTATTTTTATTTGCGAATTCGTTTTTTATAATATCCAAATTTATGTTCTCACTAGAAATCTATTCAGTAAACATTTTTGAAAAAAATTTCATATTCATTTTATTTATACTTTGCAAATTAACAAATCTCACAACAATAGTATAATTTTATAAACATATTCCATATTTATCAATTTTTAATTCCATCCTGACTGTCCATCCAATATTAAAATATCCACATCTATCAAAACTGACTTTCAGGAAGTTATGATTTTTGGTAAATTTATTTCCAGTCTTTTTAGAACCAAACAGAGATTGACTGATCCGTTCAACTTTTTCATATTATGTTACTAATTTTATCATAATTTTCATAATTTAGAACCTAAATATTCGTTTTTGCTGTTATTTTCGTTTCCTTTTGACACTTCTTTCTTACAAATAAAACTATTTCTTGAGAGACCCTACGGAAGAACAAGTAGAATGCATAAACTATCGTCTCGGGAATTATTGCACAAATTTGCGTGATCTTGCAAAAAAAAAAATACAGTAAAATTAGTTGATCAAATAGATCTATCAAGTAAAATAAACAAACCTTTTGAAAAATATTTTTATAAAAAAATCAATGATCTTAAAACCATTTGCAGAAATTGAATTATTAAATTTATTAAATAAAAAATAAAAAAATAAAAAATCATCAGGTACAGACGATGTGCCCAGTTATATTATAAAAAAAGTCACTCGAGGATATTCTAGCCCCGCTGACATATTTAGTAAGTAAGTGTTGCCATTATACAAAAAAATGATTCTGTCATTGGAAAATTATAGGCCTGTGACAGTCCCCTGTGGATTATCTAAGACAGTGGCTCTTAAACTTTTTTGGTGACGGGACCTTTTTGAAAAGTGAAATATTTGACGTAGCCCTAAACACATTTCGGAAAAAAACCCTCCTTGCTCTAGCCTCTTGCCAGATCCCTCTCGTTTCTTTGCGGAGCCACTAAAACCGAAAATACCAAAACCATACACTCCTTCCTCTTCCTGACCTCTAAAAAAAAGGCCTCCAGCCCAAAATACCAAATTTTATACTCCTTCCTCTTCCTGGCCTCTAAAAAAAAAAAAATAAAGGGGCCTCCAGCCCAAAATACCAAATCATCATATACGTCATCTTGATCTCCCTGACTCCAAAAAAAAAGGCCTCTAATTTAACATACCATACCTCATATTTCTAGATTGCCTTTTATCATTTTTAAAACGACATCAAATTGTGACAAAAAATCAACATGGATTTTGCGCAGAAAAGTCAACAACAACAGCCATGATCTCATTTTATAATCAGATTATTGAACATACTGAAGCAGCCGAGTGCCCTGTGACTATATTCTTTGATTTAAGTAAGGCATTCGACTGCGTGAATCATGAATTATTATTATTATATGTACTAGAGACATATGGAATTAGAGGAAATTCTTTAAAATGGATCCCCACCTTTCTTAAAGACCGACAGCAATATGTATTTCTAAACTTTAAAATAGACAACAAAACTAAAGAAATTAACTTTAATCTTTTAGATACACATATGTGGGTTCCACAAGGGTCAATATAGGGCCCAATATTGTTTATTTTATATGTTAACAGTGTAGACCATTTAATAGGTGATAATCATTATGTTGCATACGCTGGCGACTTTTCTGTAAAAGTTTTTTATCAAATTACAGTGATGCATTAAAGGTTAAAAGGTCTTCTCTTTTACAAAAAATTTCTAACTATTTTAATAATTTTGATTTGATATTTAACACTAATAAAACATACCTCATTAGGTTTCATAACAGGCAAAATATTCTAGATGATTTTAGCGTTTATATGGGTAATTCCAGTATTGATAGTACACGCGAAAGCGTTCGTTTTCTTGGGATTCATATTGATGAATTTCTTAATTGGAAGTATTACTGCAGTAAACTTGTAGGAAAAAAGAATTCGCTAAAATTTTATTTTATTAATTCACGGGAGGTGCTGCAGTCTCATCAACTTTGCTCAAGTCGACTCTCGACTTAGATATGCAGTATGTCTCGGGGGTAATTCTACAGATGCTTCTAATGTTTTTACTGCACAAAAGCGTATAATACGATGTATAGCTATCACTTCACAAAGCATGTCCTGTAAACCGTATTTTAAAAACTATAGAATGCTCCCACTTCCATCTTTGCACATTTTTAAAATTTGCGTGTACATCTTTAAAAACAAAAGTTGTTTTATGACTAACAGAGATGTTCCTAGTTATCAAGCAAGACAAGTTGATAAAGTGCACGTGCCTTATGCAAGGTTGCACATTAGTTCCAACGCACCAAATTTTCTGGGTCCAAAATTGTTCAATATAACTCCCAATTGAAATAAAATAAATGTGCAAATATTAATATTTTTAAAAATAATTTGAAAATGTATCTCCTGGAAACATGTTTTTATTTCTTAGCTGATTTTTTTTTAGTATTTTAATCTGTTTAGAATTATAGCATGATTGTATGTAGTATTTTTTAATTTTATGTTATGTCTTTATTTAGATTCGACCTTATGTTTTATTAACTGCTATCCTTTATTATTTTTTTTTATCTTATTTTTTTTCTCTTTTAAATTACATATTTATTGACGAATCTTATACAATTGTCATTATTGTCTTATGGAAAATAAAGAATTATTATTATTAAAAACACTTAACTTTTAAAAATAAGACGTTAAATTTAGTTAATTACCTCAGTCATATCGGCACATAGTGATAAAAACTTTATTACCTATACAATTAATTTTAGGTTCTAATTACTATATATTACTTCCTTTTAAAAGATTAACACTTCCTAATGTTTCCATTTTTATTTGTAATTGCAGCTGTGCAATCCTTAAACGCACAAGACTGCCTTAGTAGAGATTTTAATAATGGTGGAACAGTATGCGTTTGCAACACCGACCATTGTGACACTTTTAAACCAATTGAAAAAGTAGAGGAATCAAAATTTATTAAAGTTACTTCAAACCAGGCAGGTTTAAGATTTCAAAAAGAGGTAGGCGAATTCAGAAAACAAAATTTAACAGCTGAAAATGTTATTGAGATTGGAACAGAAAAATACCAAGAGATTCTCGGTTTCGGTGGATCTTTTACAGATTCTACGGGTATTAATATTAAATCACTTAGTGAAGATTTGGGAAATAAAATAATAAGGTAAAGAAAGTTAAATATTGCCTATTTGTTGGTGTAAAAAGTTTTACGTAATTTAACCATTTATACATACTTTTTTATGTTAGTGTCTACTGTATTACCATTTGTTAATCATTTTTGGTTATGTTTAGTCATTTTAAGTCAATTTTTAGTCATTCTTAGTTATTCTTTGTCATTCTTAGTCATTCTTTGTCATTCTTAGTCATTCTTTGTAATTCTTAGTCATTCTTAATGATTCTTAGTCATCTTTAGTCATTCTTAGTCATTCTTAGTCATTTTAAGTCATTCTTAGTCATTCTTAGTCATTCTTAGTCATTCTTAGTCATTCTTAGTCATTCTTAGTCATTCTTAGTCATTCTTAGTCATTCTTAGTCATTCTTAGTCATTCTTAGTCATTCTTAGTCATTCTTAGTCATTCTTAGTAATTCTTAGTCATTCTTAGTCATTCTTAGTCATTCTTAGTCATTCTTAGTCATTCTTAGTCATTCTTGGTCATTCTTAGTCATTCTTAGTCATTCTTAGTCATTCTTAGTCATTCTCAGTCATTCTTAGTCATTCTTAGTCATTCTTAGTCATTCTTAGTCATTCTTAGTCATTCTTAGTCATTCTTAGTCATTCTTAGTCATTCTTAGTCATTCTTAGTCATTCTTAGTCATTCTTAGTCATTCTTATTTAGTCATTCTTAGTCATTCTTAGTCATTCTTAGTCATTCTTAGTCATTCTTAGTCATTCTTAGTCATTCTTAGTCATTCTTAGTCATTCTTAGTCATTCTTAGTCATTCTTAGTCATTCTTAGTCATTCTTAGTCATTCTTAGTCATTCTTAGTCATTCTTAGTCATTCTTAGTCATTCTTAGTCATTCTTAGTCATTCTTAGTCATTCTTAGTCATTCTTAGTCATTCTTAGTCATTCTTAGTCATTCTTAGTCATTCTTAGTCATTCTTAGTCATTTTTAGTCATTCTTAGTCATTCTTAGTCATTCTTAGTCATTCTTAGTCATTCTTGGTCATTCTTAGTCATTCTTAGTCATTCTTAGTCATTCTCAGTCATTCTTAGTCATTCTTAGTCATTCTTAGTCATTCTTAGTCATTCTTAGTCATTCTTAGTCATTCTTAGTCATTCTTAGTCATTCTTAGTCATTCTTAGTCATTCTTAGTCATTCTTAGTCATTCTTAGTCATTCTAGTCATTCTTAGTCATTCTTAGTCATTCTTAGTCATTCTTAGTCATTCTTAGTCATTCTTAGTCATTCTTAATCATTCTTAGTCATTCTTAGTCATTCTTAGTCATTCTTAGTCATTCTTAGTCATTCTTAGTCATTCTTAGTCATTCTTAGTCATTCTTAGTCATTCTTAGTCATTCTTAGTCATTCTTAGTCATTCTTAGTCATTCTTAGTCATTCTTAGTCATTCTTAGTCATTCTTAGTCATTCTTAGTCATTCTTAGTCATATTAGTCATTCTTAGTCATTCTTAGTCATTATTAGTCATTCTTAGTCATTCTTAGTCATTCTTAGTCATTCTTAGTCATTCTTAGTCATTCTTAGTCATTCTTAGTCATTCTTAGTCATTCTTAGTCATTCTTAGTCATTCTTAGTCATTCTTAGTCATTCTTAGTCATTCTTAGTCATTCTTAGTCATTCTTAGTCATTCTTAGTCATTCTTAGTCATTCTTAGTCATTCTTAGTCATTCTTAGTCATTCTTAGTCATTCTTAGTCATTCTTAGTCATTCTTAGTCATTCTTAGTCATTCTTAGTCATTCTTACTCATTCTTAGTCATTCTTAGTCATTCTTAGTCATTCTTAGTCATTCTTAGTCATTCTTAGTTAATCTTAGTCATTCTTAGTCATTCTTAGTCATTCTTAGTCATTCTTAGTCATTCTTTGTCATTCTTAGTCATTCTTAGTCATTCTTAGTCATTCTTAGTCATTCTTAGTCATTCTTAGTCATTCTTAGTCATTCTTAGTCATTCTTAGTCATTCTTAGTCATTCTTAGCCATTCTTAGTCATTCTTAGTCATTCTTAGTCATTCTTAGTCATTCTTAGTCATTCTTAGTCATTCTTAGTCATTCTTAGTCATTCTTAGTCATTCTTAGTCATTCTTAGTCATTCTTAGTCATTCTTAGTCATTCTTAGTCATTCTTAGTCATTCTTAGTCATTCTTAGTCATTCTTAGTCATTCTTAGTCATTCTTAGTCATTCTTAGTCATTCTTAGTCATTCTTAGTCATTCTTAGTCATTCTTAGTCATTCTTAGTCATTCTTAGTCATTCTTAGTCATTCTTAGTCATTCTTAGTCATTCTTAGTCATTCTTAGTCATTCTTAGTCATTCTTAGTCATTCTTAGTCATTCTTAGTCATTCTTAGTCATTCTTAGTCATTCTTAGTCATTCTTAGTCATTCTTAGTCATTCTTAGTCATTCTTAGTCATTCTTAGTCATTCGCAGTAATTTTTAGTATTTTTTAACCATTTTTAGACATTTTTAGACATTTTTAGACATTTTTAGAAATTTTTAGACATTTTTAGATATTTTTAGACATTTTTAGACATTTTTAGACATTTTTAGACATTTTTAGACATTTTTAGACATTTTTAGACATTTTTAGACATTTTTAGAAATTTTTAGACATTTTTAGACATTTTTAGACATTTTTAGACATTTTTAGATATTTTCAGACATTTTTAGACATTTTTAGACATTTTTAGACATTTTTAGACATTTTTAGACATTTTTAGACATTTTTAGACATTTTTAGACATTTTTAGACATTTTTAGACATTTTTAGACATTTTTAGACATTTTTAGACATTTTTAGACATTTTTAGACATTTTTAGACATTTTTAGACATTTTTAGACATTTTTAGACATTTTTAGACATTTTTAGACATTTTTAGACATTTTTAGACATTTTTAGACATTTTTAGACATTTTTAGACATTTTTAGACATTTTTTAGACATTTTTAAACATTTTTAGACATTTTTAGACATTTTTAGACATTTTTAGTAATTTTAGTTTAAATGTATATATTGACCCAGCTGAAATGTTTATAAGGTACCTAGGCCTCGGAAAAAATTACTCATGAAGTAACCTAAGTTAAATTTATTTATATAAATATTTGTAATATTAGTAACTATTTTACAGTGCATATTTTTCTGATGATGGGCTTGAATATAGCGTGGGTAGAGTTCCTATTGGGGGAACCGATTTTTCATTGAAAGGTTATTCCTATTGTGATACTCCTAATGATAAACCTGATCCTGATTTGGAAAACTTTAAACTTCAACCTGAAGATTTCGAATACAAGGTATATTGAAACAAATATCACGAAAATGTTCTGTATTATTAGAATAGTTATTTATGATAATACAAAATGCATTGTGACAATTTTATATCAATAACTTTACATACATTATTTAAAATTAACCAAGCAATTGTATAAATGTTGAAAAATAAAGGATTTACTAAAACATGCAAATTTGCTTAAAAAATTACTATTTTACCGCAAAATTAGAACAATTATGTTAATAAATAATATTACATTGATATATTTTAAAATCCATCACTAACACTTAGTAAATGATCTTTCAGCATTAGATTTAGTTATTAAATTTCCTTATATTTTACAGACTCTTAAATATAGTTAACGATTTCTAGATTTCAATGATCAGCAAAGCATTAAAAATCAGAAACAACAAACTTAATTTATTCGCTTCTGCTTGGATAGCACCTAGCTGGATGAAGACCATTCCTGGATTTAATTCCAGAGGTTCTTACATTAAGGACGATATGTACCAAGTATGGGCGAATTATTTTGTGAAATTTTTGGATGAGTACAATCACAACAATATTTCGTTTTGGGGAATAACCACTGCTAATGAACCAGTAACAGCTTTCCTTAACACTAAAATACCATCTGTAGCGTGGAATGCTCGTGGAATGGTACGTTTCATTGAATATTAAAGTCTTTCATAATGTATTAGTTGTAAAAAAGTCCTTAAGCCTATAGCCTTTGTAAACGGTTCTATTTTGCTTCTGTTTGTTGATAGACTTTTCAGTTCTGTATTTGTATTTTAGCAACATCTTGCAATACTGCTTTATTTTATTTCCTTCCAGACTTTCACCACTTTTTCATTTCTTCCGGAATCTTTCACGCTATTTATTGACCATCACCATTTTATATTATGATCCAACCAATCTTAAATCTAATTTTAATATTTATCTACTGCCCTTAACCAGTCCAAAATGGATATATGTCTCTTTGTTAATCAGTACTCTTACATACAACTAGTTGTTTTGTTCTATAATTTTTAATTTCTACTTTTATCTATTTTTGATTTATTACTGAGCATCATATGCTGTTTTTTTACTTCATATTTAACCACTTATTTTTTGCTTTCTTCACTAGTTATTCTGATACTATCTTTAGTAATTTATATACTCATATTGTTATTTTGACTACCGCATCTGTTGCAATAGTTTATTTTCCAACTAATACAAAAAGAATAAATTTTGTAAAAAGTACATTTATTTTCGTTTTTAGGGTAAATGGATAAAAGAACATTTAGGTCCTACATTGAGAAATTCAGCTCATTCAAATATTAATCTTATAATTAATGATGATCAGATTACCCGGGTTCCTGATCTAACTGATATGGTAAATATTAAAAACGTATTAGTATATTTAAAAGAAAATTAGCTAATTAAAACCAAATACTCCATTTTGGTATCTTTTAAATGATTGTGAATAAATGAAGTAATCTACTTGAGATGTGTCATTTTCCTCATATTTATAAAATTATAAACATCGTTGAAGAAAATACATTTTTTTATCTTTCAGCTATTGTCAAATGAAAAAGTTAGCAACTATGTTAATGGTATTGGTACTCATTGGTATTTGGAAACAATTGCTAGTACAGGCGTTATTTTTGATACTGCACATGATCTTTATCCCAATAAATTTATCATCTCAACAGAAGCCTGTAACGGTAAGATATTTTTTAATGTATCCAATGTGAACGTGTAAGTTTTTTTATTTTAGGATTTTTGACAAATGATGTCATTTTGGGTAGCTGGAACAGAGGAGAATTGTATGCCGAAAGTATTTTCCGAGTAAGTTTAATATTTTAAAATTTTCAAAATAATAAAATCATACTTTACAGGACCTCAATCACTGGGTGATCGGTTGGGTCGACTGGAATATGGCTCTAAATCTTCAAGGAGGACCAACGTATATAGACAATTTCGTCGATGCTCCTATTATAGTTAACGCTACAGCTGGAGAATTTTATAAACAACCGATGTATTATGTTCTTGGACATTTTTCCAAATTTATTCCTAAAGGATCTATCAGAATAAAGTCTACTGTTATTGATGAAGTAGTTTCGATTGCTGTTAGTAGACCAGATGGTGCTACAGCTGTTGTAATTTTAAACAAGTAAGTTTTATTAATATTTTTAAAATATTTGGAAATATTTCAAGTAACTTAAAAAGATGAACACAGTTTTGATTATATCTTCATCTGTATACTATTATTTATTGTTTTATTTGTGGTTGTTAGATTGTTGTATTGATACTTTATTTTGGTTTTGTTGCAGAAATGACAAAGATGTAACCGTGACAGTAAGAGATGAAAGAAGGGGTGATATCAGTGTTAATTTGACAGCCAATTCGTTAACATCTATTGTATACTGGTAGTAAATTGAGTTTAAAAGACAAATAAGAAAATAACTGTCATGTGTTAAATCACTTGAGAATTGTATGTAATAATTTACCATCAAACCTTACGTACTCAGACCTCAGAAACATTTTATTAGGTGATCTTAAAGATCATAATATTTCTTGAAATCAATGTAAATGCAATAGATTTTCTGAAATTTTATCGATAAATTCTATACGTCAAAATCCTTGTTGTCCTATTGATATGTGTTTTAAAATTAAGCATACTATAGTTTTTCATATAATACAAACTCAACAGTTTTGGCTCACAATTTATTATAACTATGGACAGACAATTATCTTTTTTTTATCCCTCCTCTTAAAAATCCAATCATGTCGTGCAACAAGTCCAACCTTGTTCTTTGTTGACATTTACTGCTGCCACTACGTCAACGTGCGATCAAGAATCTACTGAAATATTTTGTTACGCAGGCCAACGCGTTGAGGAAGCATTTCACGAACTCATCAAGATTCTTCTATTTAGAATTGGATTTTTTGTACGACAGTACTTACTTGTAAGAAGATAATATGCTGTAAGGTATACGGTATCGGCACTGTAGCCATTGCTTGTCACCAGTTATGCATGCGGTATCGGCACTGTAGCGATTGTTGGTCAATGATTATGCATAGGTTTGAGGTTAGATTACGTTGTGCTAGATTTATTAAATCAACAAAAAACTATTTGATCATTATTTCCTATTCCAACTAAATGGTATTAGGGGCGAAACCCTTTACAATGCAGACATCATTTATTCTCTTTGATTTTTAAAACCCATTGATGCCATACAGGTTTAGCCTGTGTGAACATAGACAATCGAAATCAGGGCGGCCGAGAGTCAGGTGGGGCCCCGGGACATTTTTATAAAAACAAAAAGTCCTTAAGAAAAAAAATAAAACGTCCTCACCTAAAGCTATGAGCCCCCCACCCGTGTGCCGCTGCCAGGCCCCCCTTTTGTCCGGTCTCGGGGAATTAGTCCCGCCGGCCCCCCTCTCGTCGGCAATGATCGAAATGTAACTATTATAATGACGATATTCGGAAAACATATTTTTTAGATCTAAAAACAAACAACCAACGTTTTAATCGCTACAAATGTACATACAAACTACAACTAATAATTAGTAGATGTCGCTTGCATTTCATTTGGCTGTTACGCCGTTTTGCGACCACATTCAGAACATTAGTATTGCGTCTCTTTGGTATTTGGCTTCGCTGGCTGGTCGGGGGCTAATTAAATACTACACGTTCGTAATATAGGTCGATGATAATTCACACTGACTAGCTGTTACATGTTAATTTTTTCACGTAAATGCACTCTTGGTCGCTGTAATCAATTATGTAAAAGCAAAAGTTGGCTTGTCGTTATAGAGCTATGCATGTATAAAACATCCGTTTTAGGCTAGGAGTGTATAATATTAAAATACTATAAATATAGAATAATGTAATAAATTAAAAATAAAATGAAAACTACGCTGGATTTTTCTATTATTCTTCTATTATTTATTCTTTTATTTAAAATTAATTAAAATCAATAATAGTACTCTTTCAGGTGTTATGAAAACACTTCATTAATGGAAGCAGAATATTATAACCAAGTTTGTCAATAAAAATACCCTTAAAAGTACGTGGGGTTCTGCGATGACGTCACAAATTGACATTTAATATTATTACTCTTCACAAACAGATTTGAAAAACTGCACCATCCTATTAAATATATAATCATTGGGTTTTATTTAGAAACAACTAAAACTTTGATAGGAGCTAGACAAAATTTTTAATGACGAGGTTTTTTCTCTTATTCTGCAACGCACAAAATTTGCATTTTTGTCTTGTTCTACTCTTAACATTTCTACTCCCTGAGATTCTAGAATACATACCCTGAACTCTAATCCTACCCTTTTACCCAATTTCTTCTTATCCCTTATAAAGATTCTAATGGTTTTTATCGCACGTCATGCACATAATTATGTAGGTAGTAATACGCCGTTCAAAATGAACATCTAAAGGGTAAACTATAATCCGGGTCGGAAAAGCAACATTTGGAGGTTCCCTAGGGACGTCGGCCGGTCAAAGGGTCGCTAATTTATAACGCGATACACTTGTGATAACACGTGAATGTGAAATCTTGCCATTGGCGGGTATTAAAGCGATATTAGTCTAATGAAAATTTTAAATTTTCCGTGACATTGCTTGGAAACATGCGATTTTTTAATTACAATATATGTTAATATATCGAAGTAAAATATGTAACATGGGACATATTATCGAGGTACAATCAACAGGCTTAGTCCGCAAAAAAGAGTTAATTAATGATGCTAATAATAAAAAATCAAGAAAAAATAGAATAATAATAATAAAAAAAAATGAGAAGACAAGAAAATACGTACCTTTGACAAAACATTTTTATATAACGTTTTTTTATATTTTAAAATAAAAGTATCTTTATTATTTACATACAGTCAGGTCTGGTATAAGCGGTAGTCGAAATTTTTGTACGCCCATTCAAGTCAGTACCTCCTAACCAGCACACTTCTCTTATAATCTTTGAATTATAGAACATTTAATTTTTATAAAGGTTTCATAGTTGTTTCAGAAATTCAATATTGACTCATAAATATAGCAAATAATGCAATTTAGCTGTTAAAAATAAAATAGCACTATAAAATTGTTATATAACAACAAAACTTATAAAGGAAGTCGTCTCATTTTCTTGTTAAGGCAATTTGTGCAACATGTATAAGGCAAAATTGTTTCAACAAATATAAAATACTTTCATTGCTACAAAGAACTATATTTAAGAGAGCAAACATACCAATTACAAAGTATCCTTTAAATGTCTTTATTACTGTTGTATTAGTAACACTTAAAAAGCATCAATGAGGTAAAATGCTCTCAATAAACACAAAAATATTCCTGCCGCTGGTTTAATAGAGCCATTTTGAAACATTTCATCATTTATACTTTAACACGTTATTGGGTTGTTGATGTTTGAGTTAACAAAATAGACATCTCACGCTGGAAACTGAATCTTGCCCCTTTCAATCGTTTCCACAATCTTAAACAATTTAACGCACCACAATTAAGAACGATACTAGTACAGAGCAAAATTACTTTATTGTTGTGTTATTGTGAACAATTATAAGACCATTTGGTATTTACAAGAATTATTAGCATTGGTTTAGAGCAATTTTTGGTGTCTAATAGTTTCAAGAGAGCAAAATAGAGCAAAACGAAGAGAAGGACTATTGACAAGTCAGTACCTTGTCGATGGGTCAGGAAGCCTCGCTAGACTGCTGTATTGGGCTTTCCGGTCGGCTTTATATATCCACAAAGTCTGTAAAAACTCTACTTGTGAAATCATGGGCGTATCATTAGCGGTGTTCGCCGAAACATCGTTACAACCTGTACCACCCCCTTATGATAAGAGTTTAGACAGTAAAATGATAAATTTTAACTCAAAAAGATAATTATTAATATAATAGGTACATTAGGAAATTAATTATTAACAGTGTCGTTCAACAGTTTTTAAAAAGTATAAGAATTACAAAATAATGAATATATACTATGTACTACACTATCTGTATATTGGAATAATGCATTGATCAAGAAAATGCATTTTTCAAATCCATGATGATTTTAAACCCCTCAGAACTGTCTAGAAAATGAAAAGTTACCGTATCTGCTTCCCCTTTTACATTATTCCCGTAATCTCCTCATAATAAATACTTGAGAAGGAGCGACAACCATACACGCATCTAGATTTAATCACCCCATATATATTCCATACGAAATGACTGTATTATAGTATCGTTCCTCTTGTTGGCTTGATTCCATCGTAAAAATGATATCAGTGTATCCGCGTGCGAGTTCTTTTTATTAAAAAATCTCTCGCAGGGTTCACAGTAATCGTACTACTCAAAAAATAAAATCCGGATATATGCCAAGACATCGCGTGTGGGCTCTTATATCGGCTTAAGCTGAAGAAGGGTAATCAACCACGCCGGGCTAAATAACATGCTGTTACGATGGAGCGTAATTGAATAACTGAATATTTTACGTTCTGGAGCATGAACGTAACACAAAATATCATGTTGGAAATTACCAGAAATCGCTCATAAGCCAGTCAATCAAATTACAAAAAAAAATAGCAGAAAGTGTTTCTGGGTCATGCACATATTTAGGAGGGAAATAGTGTTGATTATTCACTTTCAAAATGTCAAATTCTCATTTTTTTACTGTTTATTAACTACATAGTAGCTTATTGCTGAACAAATCAGATCATTTAAACAATAGGGTTCAGAAATGCAGTTTCAAACATGACGTGTTCAGGACGGAAGTAAACTGAGCGCAAAAATAATCCCTTTACCTCTATTTTTAAAAGGGTCCATAATCTTTACATGTAAATTGGGCGCCGAACTTTCTTTAACTACCCCCCTGCATGAGATAATTAATACTTAATGTAATCTAAACTAAATCCCAAAATTAAATATTCTTTCCTTGGTCAGGTCAATTAGATTTATAATTTAGTTTATTTCTGCTGTTGATAGCGTGCAGGTATAGTACGTCGGTGTCAGTCATTAAAAGTGAACGTGGAAGAGATTTAATTTAATATGAAAATTTTACATTTTCAAAACACAAAGTTTTAAAAAGTGGTGAGACATCATGGAGATGTAGCCAAAAATAAACTGCATTGTAAAGCCAAACTTTACACTGTTGGTACAGAGAACCTAATTTCAAGAAAATATGTTCATAATCATGAAATAAATGAACAAAAGGTGCACAAGCAATAAGTTTCTAATGCATGTGAAAGAAAAACTGTAGAAGATGTAACTAAAAAGCCTTTAAAAATAATTTGTAAGGCATTATCAACATATTTGTCACCATCTCTCACAACTATTGATATCAGTTACATCAGAAGAAATATGTAAGGGCCAAAATCTCTTGTAGTTGTTAAAATTCAAGAACACATAATAGAAGAATCTGATGATTCAAGAAGTTCTTCCTTAGCCAAATATGTTGATCCAGAATTATCTCATGATGAAACTGACCAACATACTGATACTGATTCAGATGATTCTATATTTAAAACCAAATTATCTGCATTAATATGAAATTAGCCAGTTAACAGATCTTAAAGAAAAAAAAGGACCTGAATATTAAAAAAAATTATCTGATAGTAGAACAAGAAATCAAAGGGCATTAAAAAGAATGTTGTTTTCAAGGTATGAAAAGTGAATTTAAAGCTCTGATTGAAAATAAAAAGGATCTTGCAGGTTTTACTCTATGTAAGAAACTTTTACTAAAAAGTGGGTTTTCAAAACACAATAAGAAGAAAGTGAAATATTGCCTTAATAGAAAGCGTATAAATGTTAAAGAAAGGTACAACAACACCACTACACCCAAACCAACATGCATACATCCCAGGCAGATCTACTGATTTAGCCCTTCATCTAGTTGCTGGCCGGATAGAAATATCCCTGGACAATAAGGAGTCCGCCTTGGGTGTTTTCATAGACATAGAAGGTGCTTTTGATTAAACCATCTTTCCAAAGATAATACACTCACTAACCAATAGGAATGTTCCACAAATGGTTAGTGGGTAGAT